TCTCAATCATTTTTAGCTGCCATTTTGTTATTAATGGTCCGATTTCTACTTTCTTTATGTTATTTGTTATGTTTCGTCAAGACCTGTAAAATGATACCACTCTCGACTATACTTGCTATTCGAAAATTTTGAGCTACCCCCTACCCCCGCTACCCCTAAGGGCAAAATTTTCAAAATTGACCATAATTATTGTAGCCCCTCATATCTTAGAAGGTTGCCGCAAACCGATTTCAAATATCTCAAATGGTTGAAAAGTTAAGGGGGGGTGCAATTTACTTTTCAGCCACCCTGTATAGTAATGATGTACTAAGAAAAATAATTTATCTTTATGGTTCTATGGAAAAAATGAAGTAAAGAATGATTTTAATCTCAAAGAATAAAACAAAGAATGTTTTTCCCAACGAAGGTTTTTAGCTTAATGGAGTAGTATCCACATTAAAAGACAGGAATGTCTAATTTTCGTAATATTAATCTTAAAGCAATTGCATTTTGACTTTGAAACTTTAAAATGGGATGGTTAACGATTTACAATGATTTTATAGAACTGTTACTTTTAGACTCGTTACGTAATATGTTTTAGTGTATTAGACTCGGATTTAGATACTTACGAGTTCAGTATCAATTTGTGCAAAAACATTTAAACGATCTAAATATTTTTAACATGGCTTACAAGTATTTGATTTACCTCCGTTCATACTATAAACAACTTAACACCAGTTTTATCTAGTTACACATAGTAATTTAAACAAACGACAATGTATTTTTAAACGATTCTTGTATGTACTTGGTATGTCCAAAATAATCTTAGTCGTTGTATGTAAAGTGAAAAACAAGTGGTTGAAACATTAAACAACTTCACTGATGGAAAGTAAACTTTCTTGTAGATTGCCTTCGATCATAAAGATTTATGGAAAAAGTTTAGGAGTGGCAGGGACTCACTCAAACGCTGATGTAAAAATACCTTGAAGTTAATTGCTGTATGAATCAGGTTATAAGTTGTTTGCTAACAGTTTATTTAATTCAAACTCATATTGATGTAGTATCGTTAACTAAGGTCATCTATTTTGTTCAGGAAAGATTATTTGAAAATACATATTATTGAGTGTTTTCAAATATTCTTGATTCAACAAAATTAGATGAACTTAGATATCATGCATTTACTTATTTTTAATTTGACCTAATTACAAAGAATTAATATTCTATTATTTTAGATTACATCCACACTACCTGATTTCACTTACAACTGGTTCATCCCTAAGAAAGAATTGCAGTTTTACACTATCTGATGTGGTTACACTATCTGGCCATGATTATTGAACTTTCATTGGATCAAAGAAACAATTCGTCATGGTCAGTAATAAAGCACAAGGGGTCTTACTTCATTCCACACTCAGTCTACACTAATACTTAGGTTAAAATATGGAGATGTGTGTTTCTGTTTGAATGTAAATTGTATCATTATGATATGTTTTTTCTCTGTCATGTGATTGGAATGTAATTTAATAATGCGTCCACACTAAATGTGCCCAAACCTACAGAAAAACCGCAGAAATTGTTCAGGTCCAAAATACCTTCATGGAAACTATTCCTCTTACAGATATTGCAATATGACAAATATCCTGGTAAACATTAATAGCAGTAATGCATTAACTAAGGTAAATGTTTCAATTAACTTAAATTCTGAGATGATATGTGTTAAAATCCCCAAACTTATATGCACTTTTAAGCTTGTAAATAAATAATATTTCATTACTAGTACAGTAGAAGCATTTCAAACACGAATGCACTATTATATTCAAAGATAGCGCGTCTATTTTTGTACGCTCGTGGCTAAAAGTTAGTGACGGTGGATCTTACTTGAGTGCAAACTTCCTGATAGCTAACTAGATTATGAAGCACTTGAACATGTTACAACATAGTAGTATATACTGTTCATTTCTCTGTATTTCACTAATAGCCATGCAGATTTGATATGGATTAAAGCCGAATTATATGGTTTATATTTATATTATGCTGCAGTGTAATTAAATGTAAGTCTGCTCTGTACCATTTAAATAAGTAAATAGGAATGCTATTTCCACATCTAACGTAACGTGGACATTGTAAAAGGGGAAGCCATTTTATTTTATGTATCTTACAATATTTTTTGTCCTAGGACGCTAGGCACAAGCCCGGGATTGTTTTGCACATTTTTTCGGGTTAGATCTAGGGGTTGCGGGATTATCGCTTGGATAAAATCCATTGGAGATTTGGCGGGAATTGAACCCGGAACCTCTTGGACCTAAATTCCGCGCTCTATCCACTAGACCAGCTCGCTCCCCTATCTTACAATATTGGTAATCATATGATGTGTCTGCTTTTCCATTTTTTATTTGGGTTTTTCAATTTTGTTAACAATATTTACCTCCAATATTTAGGTTTTGTTATCTCATTTACAAATACTGTAGTTTGTTAGTAAATGCTATCTAAAACATTAGTTTGTCGAGTATTTATGTTTCAAAATCAATATATCCACGTTCTGTAAATTACAGCATGCAAATCGATTAAAAAAATGTCCTTTACCCTAATAAATTACCCAAACTAAGTTATAGGTCAATTTCTCTTTGGAGATGGATTGCACGTAATGAAAGTTTGATGGGTACAAGCCACTTCGCTGGGATTGTACGACCATGACCTATATTCACATTAGTCAGACCCAATCAGCTAAGTATCTTCGTGCTGGTCTAGTGACATTCCCATTGAAATAATTAGCAATATTTCTTGTCATGACATTTTTACCTTTTTAAAAAAAAAATTCTTTTACTTAATATTTTTTTTTATTTAAATTGCTTAAGAAGTTTTAAAATTTGTAGTGTGTCCGTTGGCTTACCTAATACTGTTACTTCATATTTTAAGTTTAAGTAGGTATATTTTTAAATCGATGTACACACAATATTAATAAATCCTTGTGTTTAGTAATGACTATTTCTAAAAATTATTTTTCATTTCATGTTAGAGGCACTCTATGTCTAATATCTACTACCTGTGATCAGAAGATAAAGTTATATGTTTTATTAATTGTAATGATCTGTTTATATTACTTGTTTAAATTTGTTAGTTCGTTCTCAATGTTAATCAAACCATCACTTAAATTTTATCTGATTTATTCAATACTAAAAAACTATTACTAACAATCCAGTTTTACTATACCTAGTAATTTAAGGGGAATTCCCAATAAATAATTTAACACTATTTCATTTCATTTTGTGAACATGCCAACCTTATTTTTTGGCGTTGAATAATCATTCGAGTAGATCATCGTCATATTGGCCTTGAACATTTTTTTTTACCTCAAAACCCTTAAATTCCCAGTGTTAATACGGACCGGCGGTAACGCCCAAGAAGCTTACTTAGGATTTGCGTTGTAATGTCCTTGTTCAGTATTTCGTATAAGTATTCTATGTAATATTATTTGTCAGGCAACTCAGCACTGCTTTATCTCGATTTTCTATCGTTATCCCTTCCACAGAGATAGATAGAGATCCCGTTATTCTATAACATTACTTGCTTAGAGGGGTCAAAGTATTCCCTCATTGGTGAACTAAAATATAGCAATAAATTTATTGGTCGAGACGGTCATGTGACCACTGGACGCGTCCATTCCCGAAACCCACAAGCGTCAGTCTTTCTGAAAAGCTCCTTGATGTAACACTCCGGTTCATCAAGTCTCTAATTTTTGCTCATTTAACTCAGGACAGTTCCCTAATTAACAGTGTATTTTGTAGCCTACTTAGGCCCCCATATTCTCTATTTCGTGTCACGCATAATTGTAGTGTATTTTGTTTAAACTGTATTTTTAACTGTGTATTAACTCCCTGAAAAGTGTAGCTCAACTCGACGTGAACTTCTTGTGCGGCTTCCGCGAACGCGTGTGAACATTATTTACAATAACATTTTCTTGAGCTCATATAAACTAACCCGTAACCCGTCGTTTCGACATCAAGAAAAGTGTTTTAAATTGGACATTCTCTTCTCTTCCCATCACACGTCTGGACATTGGACCTCCATCGTCTTCCCCAACAGCTCATCCAGTTCATGGCGTGGGTATCGGCCATGTTGTCGTCATCTAGGCTTCCCTTCTCCACAACTAATGGTTAGTGAATCTATCATAAAACCAGTTCAAATAATGCCTTAAAATAATTATTAATCATATCTCATTTGCTAAGACACCAAGTGCTCCAATTTTCCATAAACATTTTACAATTTAATTAATTTTTTATACAGTCCACTCACAAATTTCGAAGTGCCTTTTTAATTACCATTTTACCACAAAACATTTTGACATTTTGTAACTTGAATCGTTCCGTTCCAGTCAAACCGAAGATCCAGTTACTCATTCATTACCAGAAATTGGTGAAATAATAAAATTTCTTAACCAAGAATGTTCGCAGACAGAAGATGCTAACATACATAACATGTCATCGGCCCACAGAAGCGTTCAATCACCTTCACCTCACAAAACCATACCAAAAAAGGTGCATTTCCGGTCTGACGTAGGCCTAGCCATGTTAGCTACTTCGAGATCTAATGCTCCCCCCTCTCATAGCCCTCAGACTAAAAATAGTCCTGCCTATAACAAATGTTTTGTTTGTAACAAAAATGATCACAAAATTTACACTTGTGACATATTCCAAAACAAATCTCCTCGAGAGCGACACGCCATTGTTAAAAAACATAATCGTTGTTTTTCTTGTTTAGGTGAACATAGCTCCAAAGAATGCCGCTCTCAGTTTACTTGTCGCACATGTAAACAGCGACACCACTCTCTCTTACACCTTGGTGATAATAATCAAACCTCTCAGATGTCTTTTCGACCTCAAGGTCAAAGCACCTCCCCGACCACTTCAGGCCCATCTCACACTCATACTGGTGATGTTAATTCACAAACCTCTATCTCCGCCACTGTCGCGGATGTAAGCAATTATTCTGCCCAAAATAACTCATGTTGAGGCGGGGGAGGGTGCGGCAGAGGCGGAGGCCCCCATGTCCCCAGACGTCGAGATTCGCGTCAAGATCGAACACGAGAGTTCCGGAGACGAGAGTTCGCAGGAGTTGCGAGAGTTCCTCGGACGGACCGACACCGTGGTGGTCTACCCGGAGGATCCGCAAGGCATACAACAAAATACAGTGCCCGTCCCCAAGGATCGTGCCAGTCCAGAGGAAGACAACTTCATCAAGTGCTCCTTCTGCGGCCAAGGGCTCCCCAGCTTCGTGGCACTCAAGGAGCACGTTGATGCTCAACACCCTGGAGGTGCCTTCCCCTGTGTCCACTGCGCCGCCACCTTCCCCTCTCGTGATCAGCTAGACAAGCACGAACTGCTGCACACTGCTAACCAGCAAGTGTCGTGCAAAGTGTGCAACAAGACTTTTGCCAACGTGTATCGTCTCCAACGCCACATGATCAGCCATGACGAGAGTGCAGTCCTCCGCAAGTTCAAGTGTCCAGAATGTGAGAAAGCCTTCAAGTTCAAACATCACCTCAAGGAGCATATTCGGATACACAGCGGTGAAAAGCCATTCACGTGTTGTTACTGTAGCGCTTGTGTAGCGCTTTCCGCAGTTGTTACTGCGGAAAGCGCTTCTCTCACTCTGGCTCCTACTCCAGTCATATGACCTCCAAGAAGTGTCTGGTAATGAACCTAAAAGTCAACCAGCGAGGCCTCAACCGAGCAGTAGACCTCAACCATCAAACCTCTGTGCAACTCTCTGCTTTCAGGAGTCAACCTCCAATGCCCAAAAGATCACCAAAAATGTTTTGTGACCTTTTGGGCAGTGATCTTTTGGGCTATAGCAGGGATTCCCTTTAAATCGTTTAAAAATATAACCATGTCAAATTAAATAGAGTTTTAAAAATAATTTTACATAAAATGAGTAAATAATGTGCTCATTTACAATACGACAATCTATATTATATTAAGACCAACTGTGTTTTGTAATTAGTAATTTAATGGATAATTCGTCCATCCAATTAGGTTACATTTAAATGTTTTACTTTTAGGTGAAGGTTTAAAAGCTTATTTTCTGGCGATAAAATGTATTACAATTGCAAATTAAGACGTTGAAAAAAATGTGACCACTCCATACGGAAACATAATAAAGCAGCCCATAGATATAAAGTTGATAAAATAAAGTTGATTAAATGCTGCGTGAATTAAAGATTTCATTAAAAGATGATACAATTGGAATAATATTGGCGATCGCGAAACATTGCATTTTTTATCAAGACTACCGATTATTTATGAAAATTACATTTTACTATTTATAATCCAAGATAAACCTTTTAATTTTTGTTATTGACTAGATTCTGATATGTAGGTATATTGTCATAAATATGTTTAATAGATTTTATTATTTAACAGTTAGCAGTCATTGTGGTTTAAAAATTTAAGTTGCTAGATAGGGATATCCTTCTGAAACCATGGCCAGGTAAAGGTTAATTAGTAAAATAAAATTAAACTTAAACCTTCGATTGATAATACTTGTCTACCTTATATCAAATACCTGGTACTTCAGAATTAAAATTAACAATTGTTTTTTTTTAAGTATCGTTATTTCACAAAACTTTTAATTAGACTAAAATAAAATCATTATTACGTTAAAGGTGAGAAATGTTTCTCAAACATTAATTTCGTGATCGAGTAGTTATGCAAATAAATAATAAATTAAATTTGCTAAGCTTGGAAGCTTTTGTGAAAGACATTATTTGAAATTAATTAGTTAAATAGAGACATTATAAACAACTTGTGGTGTAGAAGATTATCATTCATTAAAACAAAACATTACGGAACCCAGTGCAGAACACAAGAAGTTAATTGTTATTCTAATGAAACGTAATTTCTAAGTTTATCCACACGCTGATAATGCATAAAATGTTCATTATCGTAGTTATTTTGTTTCATTATTTTTTACCTTATCTTATTAAAATTAAGAGATTTTAAAGTAATAAGTTATTAAACCGTTTAATTATTGTAGCTATGTAATCGACTGATAAGTCCTTTGTTTCAGAACGTGGTTGGTTTTACAAATCTGCGTGATAATTGATAGAATCATAAGGTAAGCCAATCTAGTTTTTTTGGATTGACCGTAATTTACATACACTTTTTTAATATGGACAAATTGATTACCAAGCTGTTTTCAATTTCTAACAGATTTTTATCAACTTAATAGTATGTAGTATGAAATTGGCCAAATAACTATATTTTCCTTTGCTCTAACCTAACTTTACGGTCATTTACTATCACTAAACTAAATTCTTTTTGGCAAAGGGACTAAAATTTTTATAACCTCTATTAGTAAGTTAATGTAAAGACATTCTGAAATTTGATAACGTTTTTAACATTTATTATAACATATTTAATGACGCTTTATTGCTACAGGTTAAAACGAAAAATTAGGTGAAATCTTGGAGTAATATTAAAAATATGTTTAATGATTTCCTTGATAATAAAAGTTTATGAAAACTATATTATTGCATAATTTTGAGATCAAATTAAGTCTTCGCAGATGATTAGCACGATAAGGCCAAATTCAGAAAAAGAAATTAAACTCTTAAGTTGAGGGGTTAAATTAAAACCATGACTAAATACCTTATCTGCATTGTATTTACGTATCCATACTCAAAGTATAATAGTAGATACATACTTACTTTTATCCTTATCAATAGTTAAAGGCTATTCTAAGCGGATTTTTACATGTGAAAATAATATTGGAGATATTATGTACAAAACACATTGCATTAGAGAACAAGTTTAAAGTTAACATTGTATTTTCTGGAGATACAGAATGTCGAGTGCTGAAGGTAAATCTCGTACAAGTGATGTGAATATCTCAACTCCCTAGACGAGTATTATTGTTGTCTCGTTGTTTAGGGAGTTTCTGCGGTGATTTACATGCTTTTAAAACTCAAATAACGAGTGACTCTGGGGTTAAATATGTATTTTTACTGGTTTTAAATCTTTTCACAGCCAAAATTAAGACTGAATATTCATTAATTACTATAATAATGTTTGACATCCGAAAAGTCGACAAAATACCTGGTTTTAAGGTGTTTATAGCTTTTTATGAAGTTGACATATCTCAAAATACTAAGGCTGTCTAAATGAACTTCTTTGATGTAAAGTACCCTTATAGTGGACTAAGAGTTTAAAAATTACCTATGAGTAAAAATAAATACGAATGACAGATTTTAAATGTCTATCTGATATTTCCATGACGCCTTGCTAACATCTTCGCATTTTTCAACCTTTCTGTGGGCATTATTTGTTTATTCATTTAAACTTATATGTAGGCCTACACCCTTGCACAATAGTATTATTAGTATCGATTAATATTTTATTTCACAAGAAATAGATGCTCTTTCAAAAGTCAACTTACACCAAAAACCCCAAATCTGTGAAATTTTATCTTAAAGAAGGGAAAGGATATACCCTTTCAGTTGGGTTCTTGGAAGGAAAGGCTTTCGTTGCAAATTGTAAAGAGGAATTCTGCAAGGTTTTTGACCTTTTAACACAATATTATGTTGTTCAGCATTATTTGTAACTCGTTTACAATATCCACTAAGTAGACAGTGGTTTACAATATGGTAATAAAAAGAAAGGAAACTGATAAACTAATTGGATCATAATTGTTGATTAATTATTTTTTCAGTTTATTGTGAAGAATGATCAAACAAATTTTAACAATAACAACTTTGATATTGGTAAGTCTTGGCGCAAGTTTTAATTGGTCTTCTGAGTCGTTATACAGTAGATGGTTTGGTATTAGTGGCTTTGCTAGACTAGTAATTAGGGGATCGCCAATCATATCCGGAGTTAAGTCTGGGGGTGAAATGAACATCCGCAATTGGATCTATCAGTCTTTGATTGTTACGTTTCTTTTCTAATGCTTCTGCTAAAAGAAATAGCCAAAATCAATAAAGAACTATACAAAATCATTATACCTATACCCTGCTAAGCTTTTTGGCTTGTGTTGTTGTTTAATCAAATAAAAAATGTAAACGTGTTCAATGTTCAAAAATTTTCAATCATAAACGTACTGAAAATATTGGTTCTATAAAAATTTATTTTTTCTTTGAGGTTATCAGAGATTAAACAGGTATTTTAATAACGTTAACCGATGGCTGTAACTTCGGATAATCTTGGTATAGTAATTGTATATACTAAAGCATAACCAGACGTACACACATGCTTGCTTATAAGGCAACCATCTATAGAGGAATTGTTAGTAATTGGTGTGCATTATAAACAAATAGTTACTTCTTGTGTAGGCTGTTGTAGCTGTGTAAGGGTTCTAAATGAATTATTTACATTAAATAGCTTTGTAATTTTTACGTGTAAAATTATCGATTTAAACTAATTTAAGTGTTTTGATTGAACGCCTCTTGATATACATAATAACATAGAAAGCATTAAAAATATCCTACATTATCTGTTTCAATACTGTGTATACATTTTCTTTATTTATTTGTTGGTTGGATTAAAAAAACTACTAGCTACAATTATAAAATAAGCTTGCTCGTTCATAAAATTTCGTTTTAAAGGAACTCCAATTTAATTTTTAGGAAAAATTAGCATTCGAAAAGATTCGTAGTTCAGATTATTATTGAACGAATGCTAACTTGTGTTTTGTCACAAAACATATGCTACGTATAGTTAAAATAAAACCCGAAATAAATACATAATAACACAATATATAGATAGATTCAATCATATTTCTTACGTTCCAAAAATATATTATCTCATCGAAAACTGTTAGGATGGGTTTTATTACACTAATTACTCAGTTCCCAAGAGTAACCAAAGTTTCAATTTGTTCTTGTCTCCAGAAACACCTTGCTCCAACTTCAGACGAAAAATTTACTGTTGTTTTTTCTGTACTTGATATTACATTTCCTTTGTAGACTTAAAAGAAAATATTTGGCAATGAGTTTTAGTCTGTCAATGTAACTCGAATGCGTAATTAACTGTATTTATTGCAAAGCTTAATAATCATGATATATTTCGAATTTTTAAACGTTTGGGCATACAATTATTTTAATATCAAAAGTGACCAAGTTGCAATATTTGTAATTTAAAATATAAAACTTCCCCTAAATGAAAAAAACTTAAGAAAATTATCTTAAAACCGTTGAAGTTAATCAATAATTTAAAATTGCCTATTTTATGCGACACGGAAAATTTATACTAGAAAAACATGGATTATAAAGAAAACCTAAATCTTTTCACATGACTAGTACAGCAGTAAATTAAATAATGATAAGTAGTGCTACTACTGACAACTCAGAGCTTACTACGTGCTACGGTACATTATTCCAGTATTCTATCTTCATTTAGAGTAAGGATAAATGAGGTTTTGATAAATTTATGAATGCATGTTACGAGCTCGTATATTACGAATTAACCAACGAATAACTTTGGCAATATAGAAACCTAGGGGATAATTAAGTTGTCATCGGTGTCTAAAATTGACAAATTATTAATCTTGATGTACATAATTCTAACCCATCACGGTTTATGATATAACCTGCATATAATATGTTTGTGCTTTGACCAATTTGACATCAAAATAAATAGATATAATGTGTAAATATGTCACTGCGTTGACTGTACTGATAC